AAATAATACAGGTGGGCTTCTCCGCAGTATTACTCTACTGTTTTTTGCACATGCTGTATATACATTTAGAGTACAAAAAACAGAGTTAAAATGTTTAAATCTGATGTTACTGTCAGTTATTGTGCAATTTAACTTTGAAGAAGTAGTTTAACTATTTCACTACAATAATCCACATAATAATATTAACAATACTTTAATATAATAATAAACTTAATAATAGTTTCGATACTTACAGGCGGACTTCAAACAAAGCCAGGCAGGAGCTGTGCTTGTGGCTGCACAATCTGTACCAGACGTTCATTTGTGCATGCGTTAAATGTCTGTTTTCTAGAATGCAATCGATTTTTGAAAAAATACTGAAAATTGTCATTTCCATACTTAATTATGAAGGTGTGTTAAATTATATTTAGAAAACAGTTTTAATATTTAATGCATTTTGATTAATAAAATATAGATCATGTTATAATTCATCTTATGTTCATTTTATTTATTTCCTGGAATGAAAATCTGCATCTTTTGCAAGCATTGCCTTTTCCATGAAACATTGCAGATGATAAAAGACTGAAATCGAATCAATTCGGGCATCAGTCTAGCTAAATGCAACGTGCAATTTTTTTTAGCGCATACGCAAATGAGCTTCCATGTGCAAAGCTCAGTGATGACGTCAGAAATAGGAGGGGGTTTATTATTTTTTTGGTCTGTATCAGTGATCGCAACTTAAATAGTTCAAAGCAACAATACTCAAAATACATGATAAACATTTGTGGACTTATAGCAAGTGCGTTAGTACATCAWACAGTTYGTTTTAGACMTACTTAACTCAGTTTATAAAAGTTTCTCTAAGTATTTAGCTAAAGTGAGTACAACTGACTAACTTCTGTTAGTAAGAAACTACCGGGTTTAAAGAGTAAGTTTCCTTCATCTAGGAAGGTTGGCAACAGTCCCATAAACCTAGACTTGTTAAAACAATATTGACAACTGTGGTGAAAGAAACATACAGCTGCTTGGAGATGGTATTGTAGCTTTTACCTTTTTCAGTGTTCTCCTTTCTAAGCTCTTCAGATTGCTCTTGCCTTTGCTTTCTCGGGTCCATGTTCAGTACAGCGCACATAGCARTACCAATGGGTGTTTGTTCCCTTTAAAAAAGGCTCATGAATATCTTGAAGGCATCTGTGATATTAATCACAGTCAAACACTTAGTTTGAAACATGACTATATTGCAAAGATTAATAGTCCCTTTAGGGTTCCAGCAAATGTGCTTCACATTATTTTAGCGTTTCTTTGCAAAAATAAACAGCAAATTATATATTTTCACAAGCCTTTTTTGTTTACATTCTCCCATACTGAAGGCATACTGATATAATTAGACGTGTGCTTTTAACTGAATTTGTTTTCATAAGGAATTAATTATTGTTTCAATTAATTGAAAGGGAACCAAAAAAGTTATGAGTTTACAGCTGAAAAACAGCACAATAGTCAATGATCATTAAATGGTGGCCAAGCCCAGCAAGTGGGGAGGGGGCTTCATTCTCTAAAGTCTTTAGCGATGCAATTATTGCAGTTGCGAAGGAAAATACCATCACCAATTACCATAAAACAAAGCTGATATCAGTTTATGTGTTGTTTTTAAAAAGAAATACCTTGCTTCATATGCCTGAACAAAGGATACTTGCTACAGAGGTGAACTTGAGGGGTGACACTGATTATGTATTGGGCTCCTTCAAGCTCCAGAACAAAGTGGTATAGGAGCACATGTTTAATCTTCAAGTCGTCCTTCGAGCTCCTTTTCTCCGTCTCTTTGTCCTCCTTCTCACTCATTTAGACTAATTCAATGTGACTGAGCATAAAACAAATGCAAGGGCACGTTGTTGCATGGCTCAACATCTGCTTCAATCTGTTATTTTTCTTGACCGAGGACAATTGGGTATACGCAACTGTTTACTTTTTCACAGCTAAAAACAGAAAGAATAAGCTACTCCAATGTTATCTAACAAGAACAAACTGTTTCTTGTTAATCCACAGATCAGTTTATTCATTTTTATTTGCTGTGAATTAAAATAATCCWYGTTATTCCAGGTATACACAGTAGCYAAYGTTGAGATRTTTTGCGTGACCCTAGCCAAAATGGTCCAGATKGACTGACCGTCTATCTGTCTSTCCATTATCTTAACCTGMTTTTTCCTTTCAGGGTCACGGGGGTCACTGGTACACATATCCAGCAGTCACTGGTCACTGTGCGAGGGGTGGGGGACATCCTGGRCAGGTCACAAGTCCATCACAGGACCACATAGAGACAAACRAGGCAAACATTTAGAGATACCAATCAGCCTAACATTCATGTTTTTGGTCTGTGACAACCAGAGTGAGTTCCAGGAGAACATCCATTCATACAAACTCGACTCACAAAAGTCCCCAGCCAGGATTCAATCCGGCATTTTTTTTCTTAGAGACAACCGCTCTACCAACTGAGCTACTATGCATGTCTTTTATGAATTCTCTGCTAAAGTGTACAAATGCAAATACGATTCCTGACCTAATTTACACATATGTACATATAAATCAGTATTTAGCAGGTAAGTAAAGTGTGGTGATGATCTAATTGATCAGTTTTTACCTAATCCTCTGTACATTATGCAGGGCTATCTTTACACAAACAGTATCTCCACCCACCTTCAAATTTAAAATTCATGCTATAAAACAAGGATTGTTTCTCTTATTTAAATTCCCTTATCTTTAAGTCACACTGTTCTTCTTAATCGAGTCTACAAAGGTTTGAAAATATGTATTTGTGTGTTAAAATGATTCCTTTTTTATTTTTGGAAAACATTAAAAAGTATCCGGATATTACAGCAGTCTTACTCATTCAAGCCACATAATCACACATAATAGCTGCATACAACGAGATCAAACAGGTTGTCTGTGAGGATGGATGAGCTCCACACTTTGGTTTACATGACTCAGTTTGATGGTGGCGTCAAAGCGGGAGCCACGCTTTGTCCTGTCCTTGATCTCTCCCGTCTTGCAGATTGAGTCGACCCTTGTGACTCACAACGGACTATAAAATGGCGGAGCAAGGTGCTTGTGTCAATAATTTATGGATGTGTCTATTTAGAGAAAGGTTGAGAACATRATTTTAACCCAGCCTCATTTGTCTTCTTTGGCTTTTTGTTATCTTCAATCTGAGGAAGATCCGATTTTTAACACAATAGTGCATATCTTTTTAAGTAGAGTTCTGTGAAAGGTTATGAAAAATCAATAGGAATGCTTTTTAAACAGCTACAGTTTAAAGCAGAGGTTCTTAACCTATGGGCCGTGGCCCAATTGTGRGCCGTGAGCGCCTCCTTGAGGGCCTCAAAAGACCAACAGTTTTTAACTTTGGGCCGCATAGGGCTGAGGGACCGCATTGATTTTAAATAAGGTGCAATACACTTTATTACAACTAGTAGCGGTAGTGCACCACTCAGATGTTTAACAACATTTTTAATATGTAGAAGAAGAACCTGCCGAGAATGTAAACCTATTTTAAATGAAAAGTAGAAGCAAAAATGAAAGTAACTCATCAAAAAACACCAGTTTGTCACTAATATTATTTTAACTTATATTATAGGAATGGTCGTTTATATGTATATATATA